GTTGAAAATGACTAAAAAGAATCTCTTGTATCTTCATTGTGGAAGTAAGTAAATGATGAAAAACATAATACAAGTAAATGATGAAAAACATAATACTATTCCTATAGCAGAAAAACTAGGCTTCAGTTTTCTAGCATATCACTCCCCTTTCCAGTTGCAGGACAATGATAGAAAAAACTTTAAATTGCTTTGTCTTCCTTTCTATATTCTGTTGTGCACTGTTCCTTTGAAATGCAAATGCAATCAAACGTGTGCTGAAGCACACAAGGAAGATATGAAGAAAAATATCTTGGTCACAGTTTTCATAGCTTTAACCATAGCTCAAAATGAGTAGTTCTGAACTTTTTGATGCAATAGAAAGCAGGATCATTTCACATGGCTTTACTCCCTTATTTAATATGAAAGCTCAAATACTGAGACATGTACGAGCAGGGGATCAGGAATATTTCCCACGCAAGTGAAATAAAAAAGAATCGAGCACATATACAGGAAAGATGACAAATTCCAGGATTACAAAAGATCCATAAATTTAAAACTAATGAACCCGTGTATTTATTACCCTAAGTATCTTGTGACACTGCAAAAACAGGAGTATTCTGGTCAACATAGAAGTATAAATCAGAAATAATACCAATATTATTGAACCCAGAAACTATTTAGGTTTAACAGTATTCTCCGTAACTGATGCCATTGTAATATAAGTCAATTATGAAAGTCATTTACCATACCCTCCATATTCCCTGTAACATTGCAAGCCTACGTACTTGGTGGCAATGCAAGGTAAAATAATATATTCATGGTAAGAACAATTTCACCCAAAAGCTAAAGCTTTTGGTTGTGAACTGTAATGTATATCAAACCAAAGATGTAAGAGTATATTTGAAAGAGTTTTCTAATGCGTTTTTCTAATATTAGTTCCATAAATTATAGATATTTTGAAATAGGAACCTAACAAATATTTAAAAAATTAAATAAGTTCACCAAATTGCTTAAGTTACACCAAGTAGGTCCCTATAGTTAAAATATGTAAATATAACTCCATATTTAAAATTCCATATTTCTGACAACTCACAATAATAAGCTTACATGAGAGAGAGGTGGCAGGAGGTAATCGATGCCAACCTCACCCCTACCAGTGCTGCTTTTGAGCTCGTGTGTGGTTGTCAACGAGGCGATCGACAACCTACAGAGAGAGATGTACAGCGGCCGATTAAGGATGTCGTTGTTGATTGTAACTGTCTTTCGCAAAGGACAATCATGAGAGAAACAATCAGCGGTTATAGTGGAGAAAGTAGGGCCCACTTGAGATGAGAGCCGAACATGGTGGTGATGTGGTCGACAATGCTAATTAATGACGTGATATTGCAATAATCTCCAATAAGAGGAGGTACACCATAGGCTTAAGTCCTCATTGGATCCACAGTGTCCATGCCAATTATATTTTTCTATGCTTAAAGCACGATTACTAGAAATTTTACCTAGCTACACATTTCAACTTCTCTTTTCTGACAATCAAGGCATTTGCTTCAAGCAATGTATTCAAATACATTAAATATCATGGCAAAGAAAAAGAAAATAATACAGGCAAGCAAGGAGGTAGCAGGTTAACCCACCATAGTCTTGATATTACTTGGCCGAACTCAGTTCATGGAGCATCAAGGCAGCCGTGTATTTAAAAAAGTTTCATGATGAATAATGTTGCATTGCAAAGTAACAAGCATTGTGAAGTTAAGAGCCATAGAACTGAAAAAAGATATTGGTCATCACCTGCGCATGTGCCTCCCCTTGACCAACTGAACCTCCTGATAGTGGTGGTGGGGCTTGAAAAGTGAGACTATAACCCTCCATAGTACACTGAAATGTAAGTAAGTAGTTATAAGCTGCCAATCAAATATATACCAATATCTCATAGTTTAAAAGCATCTCATGAGAAGTGACAATGTAACTTCTTACTAATTCTTGTACTGCAGTAACAGCTGATGTTGATTTTGGACCCTCAGGAAGATGGTTCACAGTGTAGGAATCTGAATTGTTCACAATCGGAAATGGCTCATCTATATTGAATGCTTGATATTCCAAAGTGTTTGAACCGCTTGTAAAACCATTTTCTTGGGAATGATAAAGCTTATTGAAACCTCCATGTGCAGATACTGGGTCAGGCGATATATATTTCTCTGAAAAAAAAAACTTTATCAATCAGGATAAAGAGAAGATTTCACGAGTACACAATTTCATTTGAAAAAACAACATGATCTTCAACTATCTAAAACATGATTCACGCTTCACTTGGAAACTGGCAGATATTTGAGGTCAGAGCTTGTGAAAGCTTTAAAAAAAACTTTGTGAAGTTACTAATAAAAGAAGTGAACATGTATTAGGTGTGAATAAAAGAAACACCACAATTTCATCATAAAGCATTGCTATAAATTTCTAATATAATAGAAATGGCATAGATCCTTCCATAACACCTAAGTGTCTTTGAGAAAATTCTAATGAATGAATGTCTTACAGCCATCCTAGATCCAGGTTACAAAATGAACCCAATTACACAAATAAATCATATAAAAATCGACATAGTATTCCATTTTTTATTTGAATAATAGAATTTTGAAAAGTAAAGATAACAACATCAACCACATCACAAATCAAGAACTAATAGTCTCTTTTCTTACGATTGAAAAAGAAAAAGAAATGTCATCAACTTCATAGTATTCTGAGCCTATCATTATAATGGAGTGAAGTAAAATATACACACAATACTATGATGCTGCCGTGAATAACTTGTAAGCAACCATCAGTCATCAGTTGACACCAATTTCCTGTGGATGAAACTATGAACAACAAGAGAGGAGCTTGAAATAAAGACCACTTGGTCACAAGGAAACCCACATCTCAACAAGACAATTTAAGGGCATGCAACTATGCAAGCAAGGAGTGACACAGCAAGTTCATAGATTAAGAAATAATCCTGGACAAGAGAATATGCATGCCATTGAGAATTGCATTCATCACTGATGCACAGCATAAGGCAGTGCAAGCTGAAAAGCGTTTGCTAAAGTATATATTCATGTGTGTTCTGCAGTGTTATTGGAGGACAACACACATGAAATTTTCCATAGTTTATGAATGATAAAATGAAATGCAGGACTTAAAATTAGCAGAAAGAAATATAGCAAAAGGCAGGAAATGTAAATTATATTCTTTATTGTTCAGTGAGGTAATAACTTACTAGCCAAATGTTCAAGAGCATTCATGACAGCTTGACGCTGAGCATCCTTCCTTGTTCTGCCGATTCCTTCTCCAAGTTTCTCTCCAACAAGCCAAACCTAGATTAAAAAGGTCATGATAAATGGATAAGTCTGAGAAATAGAGTATGGTTACTCTAGGAAAGGGTTAATAAAACAAACAATAGTATCTTAGAATCTTAGAATATGTGGAACACCAAATTAGCCTCACTGTACCAAAGAATATGGTTCTCATTTACTCTATCAACAGACTCAATTACTTGATAAAATTCTTACAAAACAAACTCACTGAGAACATTACCTTTACAACCTTAAAGATAAAACAACCTTCAGAACATTGAATTATTCAACCATGCATCATAAGTGATGGAAAAGATGGAAATATTTTTAAAAAGGTTGGTTTAGAATTCAGTGCAAAGTTAACAATTCACAGCAACAGAACAATGAACATGCACGGAAAGGGATAATATAACATCAAACTATCCTAGAATATGTGGAATACAAACGGAGCCTCAATGTACCCCGAGATTGGTTCTCATTTATTCTATCAAGTGGAACTTAATTAGGTAGCGGTGGAAAACAACCGAATCAAATCGAATAAACAATATTCGAATTCGAATATTGTTTATTCGAATTTACTCACCTTTGCCTCATTCGAATTCGAATAAAATACTTACTGTTTTAATTTGATTCGGATTAATACCTAAGCATTCAATATCTATTCGTGAATATTCAAATAGCTCATGTGGTAAGTCAGTGTGCTGCTAACCAGTAGGTCATGGGTTCAAAGAGTCCCCTCGCATCACTTAACATGTAAATTTTGCTACTTTTTAATTCTTAGTCTAATTATCTAGTGAAGTACAGAACAAAAGTCAATCCTCTTAATTAATAGGTAGCATTATTCGCCAAAAAAATTAAAATATATATAGACAAAAACTACACTATTTTATATAAAATAGACCTTATTAGTAATTTTAATGTAAGTATCCTACTAATTCATTACGTGGGAACCATTTTAGCATTAGACCTATTTATTTCTATAATAATCCAAGAAAAACATAGTTTTATACAAAATAAACTCTAGGCTCTATTTATTTATGTATTTATATGGGGGTACAATTTGTAATAAAATTTTGGATGAAGAATACTTGGAATAAGTTAAATTCATAGGACTAAAATGTAAAATATAATCAAATAATTAACAATCAACCAAATTGAATATACCTTTGGTTACTTCTACTAATTTATGAATCGAATACTAAGAAATATTCATTAACTGTTAAATGAACTACCAAATAGATATAACCGAATATCTGGACAAATAATAACCTAACTGTTTATTATTATTTGTTCACCTTTACCCCTACACTTAAGTAACAACAAGCTTGATAAAATTCTTGAGAAAAAATCTCACTGAGAACATCAATCTACAACCTTAAAGATAATAAAAGTAACCTTTTAGAACATTGAAATTTTTTAACCATGCACAACAAGTGGTAGAAAAGATGAAACACTGCAACAGAACAATGATCTATTACATTGAGATTTCTTAGAGTACGAAATAAATAGAGCGTGTATTAAATCCCATAGTAAGTTGCATGAAGGAGCCAAGCTAAGTAAAGCGACAAAAGGTTGTAAGTAGGCAATGTTGGCTATACAATTAAAAATTGAACACGACATCAGGCATAGAAGGAAAAAAAATTAAACAATGGGAGTCAACAGAACATGGAAGTGTAGTCCATCTTAAGTTTTCTTCCTAGCGAATCACACAGTAATCACCTTACCTAGAATTGACTAGGAAAAATAATCTAGTAGTAGTATTATTTGGACACTTTAATTTTACAAAAAATTGCCCTGTTGGACAAAAGGATATCACATGACAGCTGATAAAGTGCCCCATGCTTCCAATGTGCTCATATGAAATGACAGCTGATAAAGTGTCTCACGCTTCCAATGTACTCATATGAAAAGAAAAACAAATTATTTAGTATGAATTTAAGAGATGAAGGGATGGAACAATAACTTCGGGAGAGAAAAGTTGGAGATAGAGTCGTTCTTCACAAAGGTTTACACAGAACGTAAGTCTTTCTTTCTTTGCATTATACATAACTTCAATGAGGTTGCATCCTTCTCTATTCTCAATCCTCTGATGTATAAATTTAGATAGAAAAAAACTAATAGAGAAGAAATACTGGTATGATACCAATGGAAGTACTTTAGGAGTAATAATAGTGTAAGCTAAAGGATCTCATATATGCCAATGCTGGCTTTGGGAGGACAAGGACTTGTATGGAGAGTAATAGGATTCGGGAGAAGAGAAGGGTCACTTTTCATGGAAACAGAAAGGTTTTTGTGCTCGAACACCCATGTCTTATACAGTTATACCATATGCATTCATGTACTCAGCCATCAGCATACACATTAATTTCGAATGCAACAAGAAATAATATAACAGTCAGTTATTTTAGCCAAGAAGGATAATAAGTGAAATCTGGTTCCTGTTTTTGCATGATTTTTACCAACCTCTATTGAAAACTGTAAGTCTGCTGTGTCACATAAATCTGATCGAAATTCTATCTGCAGTATGAAAATAAAAAAGCAGAATTAGTCAAAAATAGTCAAAACATCATCCACAACTATTAGAACAAGGACTATGATCTACCTTGCCTCCACCTGACTTCATCACAATATCTTGTAGAACAGCAGCAGGATTTTCTGCATATTGTAAAGTTGCTCGACCAGATCTGATAGGAGCATCCCTGTGACTTGAAGAGGTTGTAGGCATAGGCATTTCTTGACCTTCAAAATGTGAATGTCCGGTTAGAAAGTAGCCTAAACAACCAACATCAGGCTATGGCAGTTCATTATTTTAGACAATGGAACAAACATTCGGAGAGCACCTCTAGAAGATAAAAAAATTTCCACTAATATGGAACACCTATACATTTTTTAATGCTCATGTTATTAGTTTAGATAAGAATTACCCCTCCCTCTAGAGTCTATCAGGATTTGCTGCAAGAGGCAGCATGACTTTAATTTATGAAAAAATTTGCCTGTAAATCTGCGATAAAACTAGAGTCTCACCCATGAGATGGTCAATCCTATTCCATGCACATTACTTTTTCTCAGTAGTCACCTTTTCTTAGGCATATAGGCACAGTGACATTGCAGAGATGAAGAACCATGACTTTCTTAACTCATACACTCATCTCAGCCTTCATTTCACAGAAGTTTGGACTTGCGCAGTCCTCATATTAATGTATTTCATAAACTTATACGGTCCGTTTGGACGGTTTTGACTTTTTTTTGTCAAACCAAACCCGAATCAAATCAGTTTTGTGCGGTTCACTTTGTTTAGTTTGATCCTAGACATTCCAAGTTAGAGAATTGTTTGATACAAGACAAGATTATTACTCCTTCAGACCTTTTGCTCATCTCATATCCCAAGTTGAAGAGGAACTCATCAAATCAACAACTTTACAAACTAAAAATGAACTCTATCAATTAAGATACATGAAAATATTAGTATAAATTATCTGTTCACCTAGAAAGAGCATGAGTACAATTACATTAAGCGGTCGGTTCTTCGGTTTCAAATATTCTTAATCTGAACCACACCGAAATAAAACCAAACTGAGCCGTGAAAATTTGGTTGGTTCGGTTGGTTTGCACCGAAAAGTGCTTACCCCTAGCCCTCCAGTGTAAATGGTTTTAGTTGACATTAGGAATTTAAGTTCTTTTATGTCCACCTTCAAAGTGTGGCATGTACCCTCCTCATGTTGCTTTATCGCTCAATTTTAAAATTCCAAACAGAAGAAATATCTTAGAAAGTTAACCTCAGTGTCATCCTTGTTGCAACATTATCTGCCTATAGAAAAGTTATGACTTTGTCTGTTTCGGATTTTATTAGCATAAGTAGGAAACTATTAATAAGCCCATTATTATATGTGAACCATGAGAACCATATGATGCTTGTAGTTGTAGGCATAATTAGATCGTTCAATCCAGTGGCAGGTCTATGATACAAACTAATATCCAACTCAGCAAGTAGTGAAATAAACTAATAGCATTTATTTGGTTCAATTTACTTGATGATAGGTAATGGTAAAGGGAGAAGTAGTGAGTGTAGAAATGAAGGAAATCTTCTGATTCTTAAACACTCAAAATATATTAAAAATATAAAGTGGGTCCAGACAGGCTTGCTTTATACTTTAAACCACAATTACTGTTAAGACCTTATCAGAATAGACAACATTCATCTGACTAAGTTGTCAGTGTAAGATAACTTTTATCCTGGATTTCTAGTTTTAGCTTAGCTACAGAAAGGAAATATTGGCATACGTGTCTAGTGCATTATGTAAAAGAAGTACAGCATGCATACAGAGAACTAGTTCAAAATAAATAATGTATGCTTTTAAATAAAATATGATCTGTCAAAAAATATAAAACCTGGATAACTATTATAGTTTGCTACTGGATGGTTGGTTCTTGCCGGAATGTCTCCATAATTTACCTATATAGCAAACTCTATGGTTAGTATATCTCTCAAACATGGCAAATCTAAATAGCCATTGACATGGAAAAACTGCCTTACCTCAACGGATGGTATCTGATTTTGATGGACACGTCTATCAGAAGGCATATGATTCTCCCTACCGCGAAAGAAAGATGAAGGGTGAGACCGCTTTCTGTCAAAATGCATAACTTCTGGTTCTAAAGGAAACTCTTTTGATGCTGTATTCACTTGTCTTGGGTTAATATCTTCCTCTAATGGTAACCAATTTCCCCGCGGTTGAACTGGAGGAACTGAGACCTGAAGAGGGGGTCGATATGGGAATGAAGGAGGCGGAGGTGGAGGAGGTGGTGGAGGAGGAGGAGGATCGCGCATGTCTTGACCATGCTGCAAGATAAGAAGTCTTCTCCTTGTATTAGGATCTAGATCTGACTCAGGAACCTCCCCCTCTTCTGTAGTAGGACATTGATGGGTAGCTTCTGAAAACCCGGTTTGACCTAATGGATTGCCTGACAACATTGGCTGAGGGAATTGGTTGTTAGGCAAAGGCATCATCACTTGAGTAGCTGCCAAGGGAATTGGTCCAGATGAAGAAGCCATAACATGAGAGAGAGAAGACATTGGCCTCAAATCATAGTTATTGACCAAGGGAGGAAACGCTTGAGCAGTGCCGTTTGCTTCCTAAGACATTTGGCTTTCGTAAGCACAAGGAAATGCAAAAAAAAAAGTGCTAGAAGTTGTTCTCACTAGTAGAGTCGGTAGCTTTCTTTAAAAAAAAAACTAATAAACTTTATCACAAATATCAATAAGAATATCGACTTAGGTTGTGGCAGTAATGGACCACGGAGATCAATCCAAATCTGATCAATCCAACCAAGCTTCAAATTCTCAAGCGAGGGAACATTATGAAAAACATAGATCACCTTTAATCTCCTCTCGACCTCAGCATCCGCCATTCGCTCAAAACCAACTGGGTCTTTGTTTACATTTGGAGCAGAAGTATCATCCTGAACAAGAAAAGACAAACAAGGGTTAAATAACTTAAAAGGGGGAAATATACATAACAAACGATTGCACCATACATCTGATATCAAATAATTGCCAACATCTGGAGCATCAGGAAGACCCAGAGTTTCATCTTCATAAAAGATATTGGTAATTCGTGGCAATAACCCATCATCAAATTCTCTGCCAATAGAATACACAATTTGTTGTTTCAAGAATCAGTATAGTATAGTCATAAGCAAGAGGATATTGAAATCAGAAAGCACCCTGGTTACAGTAACACAAACTGAGAACAGCAAGAAGCTCATTTATAGAAAACTTTAGTCACTTACTTGAAGAAACTGCCTCTGACATTACAAGCAACATTTCTCGCAACACATAAAACAGGGATAGTGCTTGCCTACAAAAGCACAGTCCATTAAGGGCTTCCATTAGGATAACAATAACTAAGAATTACACCTATTTGATGCAAATAATCATTGGTTAACTAACAATAACCAAGGACCCATAAATCTGTGAAAAGTATTAAGTATCTTAGAAGAACATTTTATGACAACCTCTGCTTGGGGAGCATAATATGGCGCAAAGGCAGGGACAACATGAACTCGTGGTTGATCTTTTTCATCCCAAACTTTCAAACGATCATCAACAACTAGTGCCATCTTCGGATGGCAGATTCCACCTTGGAATACATTGAGCAAAGACTTTTTTGTGCCTTCCAAAAACATATAAGATAAATCAAATAAAAGGTATTAAAGAAAAAACAAAGAACAAAGGAATACACAAATATAAAGAGGATAGAACCGTCAATGTATATTATATGATGACTACGATAAGCAAAAGAAAATATCGAATAATGCAATCAATTATCCATTCATAGACAAAGATATCAATCTACAGCCTATACGTCATTTACATTATATGCATTAATATGCAGTATGCATGTCTAGCATGCATATATCACAACATACCAGGCTTGACACAAACAATTCTGTCTAGAAGTTCTGTAGAACTGATAAGGTTCAATTCTGGGTCAAGAAGCCTCCACATTTCCAGAGCATAGTCTCTTTCAGCTAATGTGCAAACATAAACCTCAAAGCGCTTTCGACCTCTAGCAGTTAAGTAGCTTCTTAAATCCTCCCATGCAGGCCGTAACCGCACAAGAACGCTAGTATCACGTATCTACAAATATATAAGCACAACTTCAGTAGAAAGAAAGAAACTTTCACCATTTTTTCATTCACCCATTTCTGTAAATAAAGTAAATGACTGTAAGATGATTGTGTAAAGCTCGAAAGACATCAGCAAACACCCCACTTAGAGAGATATATTTAAAGATTACAACTAGCAAGATAAAAAGTCGTCCTGGATATAACACAATTACAATTCAGATCAAACTAAGTAAACTATAGGCAACAATACGTAGGTGCTACTGATTGCTTGAATCAGGTCATATGAATATCTCAATTGACTGCATATGTTAAAAATAAGCACCCAGAAGATGATGGGGAAAAAAAAAAGAAACTGACTAAAATTTTCAAGCATTGAATGAAAGATAAGAAAATGTACCGCTGGATTAACCCGTGTCAAGATTATGTTTTTCTCTTGTAACCTTATAATTGGGCGAGTGATTGGTTGATGACTGTCAGAGATTGGCTGAACAATCTCCGATTGAACTTTGAACACCTTCCCATTATCAACAACTTGGTCATTTTCCAAATATTGTTTCAAAATAAATTTGTCCTCCTGATACCGCTTAACCTCAGCTACCATTCCACTAACCCGTTGTGGATCAGTCTCGTTGCTTAGTTTTTGCTGTAGATTATTAATCCTATCCTCAAATGAGCGCATTGTATTAGCTACTATAAGTGTTTCATCAAGATCAAACACAATCCCAAGGCATCTGAGGTTCAACATGACAAGGCAAGAATTATATAGTCCAGGCGCAACACTGAAACCCCAAAAACATGAATACTGCATGAGGTTCTTCCTAGAAGGCATGGCCACCAAATGTAGTTCTTCATCTGCCAATGCAACAACAGCAGTCTGCAAAATGTGAATTAAAAACAATAAAAAACCAACTATAAAAAATAAATACATAAATAAATAAACATAATACATAATACATACAAACATGAAAAGAGGAAGAACTACTTGGTTGGATGGAATTTAGCATTATTTTAGATTAGAAGCTTGAGGTGTCTTAACAGTTCAAAGGAGAAACCAGGTGCTGCTTTATTACAGAGGTTACAGTCTGAAGAACCACTTCCAGCTATTAGGAAACTTCTTTAGCGTCATCCATTGCACTGGAACTCATGTATAAATCAATAACCCAAACCGGTGAAAGAGGAAATTGCGCACATAAATACAAACAGCAAGCAATAGGTGGAAAAGCATGTAACAATGAAAAATTGCATTTGTTTTTCCTCCCTTTTTCTCTCAGGTTATCATGGCAAAGAAACATATTAGATTCTCGCACTGAACTATCAGAATCATGCTTCAGTGCACTGCCTGCTAGGATTTAACGATAAACATGTGCAAGAACTACAGAATTTAAACAACTCATGAAAATTTTCAAGTATAAAGAACATTATCCGACAACAGTCGTTCAGCTTGAACAGCAGTCAACACTAGCTAGTCAATAATTAAAAACAGCATATTTGTGCAAAAATGCATCAGTGAACAACAACTATCCCAATTCTCTTCTGTGATGTACAGCCAACAGCAAAATTTGTTCGAACAGAATTAAATAAATTAAAAGGGTCAGTTCTTGTGTTGACAAATTTAGGCAAAAGATACCCCTTTCTTAACATCAGGACCCAATGATAACTTCAGAGTGAATATTACATTTTGAACAATTTATGAAAATTTCCATGGGTAAAGACTCGTATCAATAACAATTGTTCTGCTTGAAAGCAGTAAGTATTGGCCTGTCAGTATTCAAAACTTCATCAATAAGAAGTAATATCCTAGTTCTAATTTTTAAACAGCCAAAGAAACATCACAGGTCAGCATACTTTCTCTGCAAAAGTTTGTAGGAACAGAACTGAATGAATTCAGAGAATCAGCTCTTATGTTAACAAATTTAGGTAAAATTTCCCCTTTCTTAATGTCACGAGTTAGCAACAACTTCATACAAAATTTTGGCGAAAAAAATATGTGCAAGACCTTCAGAATGCGAATAATTTACGAATTTTTCCAAGGATAAAGAATCATATGCGCAACAATAGTTCTCCTTCAATGCAGTCAATATTCAAAACTTCATCAGTAGGAAATGAATATGCTGGTTCTGATTTGTAAAGTTCAGTACAGAAAACACCAAATTGTCAGTAATCAGTTCTTATGTTTAACAAATTTAGGTCAAAATTAACCCATTTCTTAGTACCAAGATTCACTGTTTTTGTTCGTATTATACCTTATTCTCTCTGAGACAAGCGGAGTAGCAATTGAACAGCTCAGCTGACGGCGATTTCGATTCGATTTTGAAGCAGACGCCATTGTTAGCGATCGTATGAAGAATCGCCAAAGGCAAGCAGCGATCGCTTGGAGGCGACAAGTAATCGATCCGAATCTCTCTCATCCATGATCCATTCGAATTCCTAGGGTAATAGATTTCCACTTCCCCAATAAACGAATTCTTATGATAAACAGCAGATCTCGACATGATTAAGGTCGAAATTTTTAGTCCTTGTACTGTTCTTACTCAATTCAGTTCAGATCTCGTTCATCTTCGAGATTCCGGGTCAAATAAAGGTATAAAAAAAAAAGAAAAAAAAATGTTCTTTAAAGGAATTCGACGGAGTTTAGGGATTCTTGGCTTCTTGATCTCGTTAACGGCTGCCGATCTGAGTTCGTGAGCGTTTTAGAGATGGAAGAGGAAAAGAAATTTAAAAAAAAAAAAACAATCGAAACCCTAGAGTTCTTGATCGGCGAAAGACGATGAAAATAAAGAAGGGAAAGTTCAAGGGTCGACGAGGTGCGGGTCGAATTTATAAATAAAGAAAAAGAATGGAGGGCTTGGATGGAATTTTTTTTATCGGTTATTATTGGTGGTCGTGGATTCACATGGACGAGGATGAGCCGATTAAGACGATAGTATTAGTCAAGTAGGTTGATGACTCGATTAAATAAATTGAATTTAATTTTATTGGTTATTTGTAATTAAATACCTTAACGTTTACTCTGTTTGACTGTGACACCCTACGTACAGTTATCTTTTGCCAAAAAAGTATCGCGACTTTAACAAATTTTAACTATGATACTCCAAACTTTAGCAAAAAATTGACAAAAAATTGATGGGTACCAAAGCTAAATTTCATTGAATTTTGGGGTACATTTTGGGAAAAATTAAACATTAGGTAACAAAGTTAATTTTTGCTGAAATTTTGGGTATCTTTTGGGCAAAAGCAAATTTTGAGATATCAAAGTAGAAATGAGGTAAAGTTTGGAATATTTAGCTTCAAATAACCCACACTAGTGCTTCCTTCTCGAATAGGTAAAAATGTATCCCGATGTCCTTTTAATTTTTATTTAAACAATTTTTTTATGAGAAAGTTAATATAAGACTAAGTTTACATCTAAATTGAGGTACGTGTACCAAATTAGGAAAAAAAATACAGGGATCAATTCGAGAATGAAACCTTAGCGCGAGTACCAATTTTGAGATATCTCTTCATGGGTTGAGGCACAGCAAATCTCATCATTTCAGTTAAATTAATCACAATTAAGCTGGAGGTGTTTATCAATTGAGATATTTTTATGCAAAGTGGAATAATTGTTAAAGTATAATAATCTTTTGCTAGTGGGATATTTTAGTGGGATAAATAGGAACAATTTTGTAAAGCGGGATATTTTGATAAAGTAATATGGAATAATTTTTTATAATAACGAAGTGTACATTTATGTATTTTGAGAATATAAATACTATTTATATATTTTAACTTACTATTATTGATTGATAACTATTTACGATAATGTTATTTACTATTAAATAACTTGTGGTTAGACTATACGATATTGAGAAATGTTATTATAATAAATGCTATAGATTTTTTATTTTTTAATTATGATTATAGTACAAGTCTAAAAAAGTTTTGCATATTTTTTTCTTCCTTTTCTGCTTCTTTTAATTTTATTGTTTAATAAATTATGGATCGTTACAATCTTTACTTTTAAATTATTATATAATTATAATATTTGATAAAAAAAATAAAATATCAAAGATGAAGAGGGGACGAGATCTGCTCTGACAGCATCGTCTAATGATAGTGATGACTATAGTAAGAAAGAAGTAAAGAAAAAATATATAATAATAATAATAATAATATAAATAGGTGTTTTAGTTTTTTACCACCTGGTTCCAAGTTAAAACCTGAGATAATTTAAGAGATTAGAACATTTATTTTTGTATAGAAAAATAAAAAAATTTAGGATAATTTTGTACAATTATCCCATTTCTAGTTTGATTAGAGTTCTAGTTGACTAAACACCGACAAAATTTTATTTTAGTTTAATTCTAGTTGAGTAACACTATAAAATTTTATCCTACAAATTTTATTTCTAGTTTGATTGGAACCATTATTTTTGTATAGAAAAAAAAAAGATAATTTTGTGCAATTATCCCATTTCTAGTTTGATTAGAGTCCTAGTTGACTAAACCCTGACAAAATTTTATTTTAGTTTTAAAGAGGAAAAAAATCACATTTTGAAATCACCAGTCACGTCACTCTTAAGTAACAAATAGTAAAATCCTTCTATGAGTGAAGAATGAGTCTCCTTTCTGACGATTCCTCCTCATACATCTATTGCTTGTAAGTAAAACTTTAATAAAACTGTTCATTCTACAATATGCTTTAGAATATTAAAATTGTTGTTCATTCTACATTAAAAATTTCAGCCTTGGCTGTACTATTCGCTTCTTAATTATTTGTTTCCTATAAACACTGTTCATGTACAGTGTAATTATGAATCTTAAGCAAGCTCGGTATGCTATAAGCGAACTTTTTGGCACTTTTTTCACTTTTCAAGTTAAAGTACTTTTTTTAACATTGAAAACAGTGTTCATATTCTTTTTTATTAATTCTTGCAAATGATGAATTTAACATTTATCGGACATTTCACAAATATAAATTTTTTCTCGCTCTATTATAGAAAATTGATAAAACTTGTCAATTGGTGTATTGTTTTGTTAATTGATTTAAAAATTCACTCTATAAATAACAATAAAAAAAATTGTCGCTAAATTTTTTATAGATGGTTATATATAAAAGTCATATTATCAATATGGTCACAAATCTAGCTTGATAAATAGTATAAGAATGGAATACAGACACCTCGGTGAAAAATATTTGTCGCTCGCTTAAACCATATTCTCTAACTTTTTTCTTTTTATTTTATTTTTCTCTTTACAAAAACTATTGACAATAAAACTTGATCTCTTTTCAATTATGGTCAAGCGACTTCAGCCTTATTTTAGAGAGACTTTTAGCCGAGATCAAGCCTGCCCCTTTCACACGGAGGAAGTGGGGGGCAAAAAAAAAAGAGAGACTATCTTTTACTAATTTTTCCCCAATAATTTTATCTAAAATTTAGTACCTATACCATTAAAATAATGTTAGAGGCACACCACCCACCACAACCCCAACCACACTCCCCCCTCTCATTGTTACAGTAAACCGGGCCCCACATGGGATTTTAAATTTTTTAAAATCCGATGTGGGGCCCGGTTTACTGTAGCATTGAGAGGGGGGAGTGTGGTTGGGGTTGTGGTGGGTGGTGTGCCCCTAACACCACTCATACCATTATCGTTCTCAAAGATTTTCTAAGGTAAAATTTTTAAAATCAACTCATTTAGAAACTTAATAGTAAAAATCGACCCATTTCTAATTTAATTGTTAAAATCGACACAGTTTCAATCAGTTGGCTGAAACTGGGTTGATTTTGGCAAAATAAATTTTCGAAACTTCACGGGACTTCAAGTCCCATGAAGTTTAAGCGCGTTGTTAAACTTCACAAGACTTTAAATCTCGTGAAGTTTCGTAACTTTTTTTTATCAAAATAGATCTAGTTTCAGCCAGTTGGTTGAAACTGGGTCGATTTTGATAATTAAGTTGCAAATAGGACATTTTTTGTAATTAAGTTTCTAAATAGGTTGGTTTTTGAAAATTTGTCCATTTTCTAAATTTAATTTTAGAAAATGCTAATTCACACTTCAATACCTTATACTTTCCCCCCATTTTGCACTTATATACCTTCGCTATTACAAATCACGGGCATTATTTCGGGCGGCTCATAAAAACCCCCAATTTCAAAATCTCGGCGAAGAATCTCGCTGCTGCGAATTCGAAGGGAATCCTTCATTCGCGTTCGCGTATGAGCTGAGTGCGAATCCGAGGGCGATCCCTAGTGAGGATTCTCTTGTGCGCATCGGTGAGCCCGTGGACTCAAAATTGTGAAATTTCCATTCGATTTCTTGTTTTGTGCTGATTATTTGGATAAAGATTTGATTGAAAAGCTGCAATCTGTGAGATTAATTACTTTCGGTTAGGAGTCAGAAACCCAACCATTAAAATCCATTAATTTGTAATAAATGGAGACTATTTCATGCTTTCGCTTACCCCATGTATTAAAATTGTTCTTTAGAGATTGATACGAACAACCAATTTCTATTACAAAGTTACAATTGATCAGGACCAAGGTTGTTGAGACTCAATGTTGTTGGAGAGGCTTGCATTAGTGAACAAGGAGACACTGATTTGTCTGCCTTTTACGCATTTTTTTTTTGTTTTATTTTTGTAATTCTATATGCCAGAATGAGTTTTGGGCAAAATTTTGAAAAACTGACTAGTCATTTTGTGTCGCGTGTGTCAACCCGTTATAGTTAACATGTCGGGATTTGGTCGATAGTATCTGAAATCCCCTGACGATGAACAAGTAAGCAAATAATCATACAACAAGAAAAGAAGATATAACGTGGTTCGACAATAACCGCAGAAGTGATTTCTCGACTGCTTGATTTTTTTTACTGTTACAATGAATCTCTCAAGGGGTATCTTAAGATCTATTTCTGAGACTTTTAAGTTTCCTTAGGATTCCTTCTAATAGTTGTTTTTTGGTTGGACGTATTATAATCTTAGCCCAAATCCATTTATTGCATTCCAGTTAAAAGAGAGAAAAAAAAAATCATCGTTCGATGTGTGTCAATCAACGTTTTACCTTCAATTATTTGAATGCTAGCAGCAAACCAACAATCCCTACATTGGAATTTGTTTGAATAAGCTATAGCCAGAATTTTTATGCCTCACATTGTCTCGACCGTTTCCATCTCTTTGCTCCACTTTCACGACCACCAATTGAAGCCACATACCATGCTCTATGCTTGAGTACCTAAATGAAGTTCAAAGACGACGTGCGTGTTTATGTATCAGTCTTCATCATTTTCATTTCTTTCCTTGTATCCCACTTGATGATTTTATGATAAATCAAATAAATATGCTTTTCTGTTGGCCTACCTCGAGCTTTTACTGAGTGGATAACACTTTAACTATCACAAAATAACTAAACAGTAAACTGTTTGAACCCAAAATCACCAACCCATCCCTTCAGCCACATTGTCCCCTTCAGATCCTTATTTGTTATCATGTATTCTTCATTGTTGAAAGAGCGATAGTTTGATGCAAACAGTAACTTCCAGCAACTGAACCATTACTAACTAGAAACACATAGCTAGTAGTAGTATTTCTCTTATCAAAATAGCTTGTGTAGTTGACGTCTACATAATCTTACTACTGACTTTTCTTTTTTCATCTTCTGGATGAACCAACCCATTCAAATACAATAGGATTCATTTTCCAATCTTCCAACTGTCCTGCACCCGGAAGATATTCCACTGCACACATCCAATAGCTACAAACAACCTGCTCTTGGAGGCAAAGTAGTTAACTCTCATATTAATTTCTGAACAAAGCAAACAATCTTTTCACCCCATTTTATTGCTTGAAATAACAAAACTATCATATACCCACAGCGGTGTAACGTATGTTCATCACAAGGAAAACAAACCACTGGTACCACATTCTTGTCGATTGCTTTAGTCGATAGAGTGTTTAATACAATCATGATCATTCTTCGCTTCCTCTACAATCCTACATGCAACTTCATGTATATTTCCTTCTCCAGCTCTCCATATAAAAATCTTGTTTTCACATCAACCTGCTCCAATTCCACATAATGATGGCTCCAATGCAAACAACACTGTAATAGGTATATGCTTGATTATGAAGAAAATGACTTGTTATAGTCAATCCTCTCTTCTTGAGTGTAGCTTTTCGCCACAGTGCACATTTTGTATTGTAATTGTTCTTCATCCGGTATTCTCACTTACATCCTATAACCTTCTTATATTTTGTAGTTTGTGAAATACTTACCATATAATCCACATTAATGCTTATGAATTATGACCAAATATCTTTTGACATATCTGACTGCAGTTTTGCTCTCTCCAATAGTGTTGATTCATATGCTCCGCTATCCTGTATGTTCTAGTTGCTCTATGCTGTAAGCTATGCCTTATTCAACTGTTTGAACTCCTTTTAGCTGTATTCACCTCCATTATTCTGTCCTCAAATACTTAATCTGTTGCCCTTTTTGCTTCTCAATGACCAATGTCCACTACTTGAATCTAGCAAATATAATCCTAGGGTTATGAGTATTTGTTTGTCTATCTTGGGAATCAATGAATTTTTAGAGAGTTATGAGGTGGTCTTTTTACCAACTTTCATGATTTTAGTGAATGATCAGTCTGTTATTACTTGTTACCCATAGAGTTATGAGGTGGTATCAGTTTCATTGAGAGGCTGTTGGTTCTCTGCAACTATAATTGCAATAAGGGTGTCAGTTCCATGTAATGAATATGTTGCGGCGTCTATAGCATGCAGTTGTGGTTGCTTGCTTCAATTTCAAAATTTTATACTTTGTCTCTTTAATTACATTTGTAGGTGTTCATTTTGAGGTCTTTTCCATTTTTTTTTTGTTGGATTTAGGGTTTGAATGCAGCTGTAGCTGCAAATTGAACTCAATTTAAGTTCAGAAAGGTAGGAATTGCGACTTACGTCCAAACCTATACAAGTTGCCTCTTGTATAAGATGTCAGTGGCAACTGGAGCTCATTTTTTTTAACTGTGATTGCAATATTTATTAGTTGCAATGCGACAAACAGCTGCAACTGTCCCAGATTTTTACATGTGTGCAACTGCAACTGCAACTGCAACTGCAACTGCAACCACTACATTTACAATAAACCAAATTACACCTAAAATTTATCCAGTCTATTCATAAAATAATTTCTGGAGTTTTATTCACTGAAATTTGTGCCTTTGTTTCTTTTTTCTTTTTCCTACAGAAGTTTATATGTCCAACACTCTTGCTGCAGATGACTAACATGGTGTTTCATTGCATATCTACTCTGCTTTGGAGTCCATCAAGCATTTGCCAAAGGGAATCTATACTACTTTAAGTTAATGTTGTTGATGAGTGATGGCTCTACTGCTTTTCTGAAGATCCTGGCTGGAATGAAGATAAGTTAATTTTATGTTCCAATTATTTTTATCTTCCTATTGCTTCCCTCCTTATAAATGGTCATTATTTTGCATGTATATTGTGTATTATGCTAAATTACATACACAGATAAACACTTGGTTTGACTAAGAATTTTAATTTTATATTTCTTCATCATTTCCAACAGAAAGAATTTCCAAAGATTTGTGAAAAGGTTTGGAATACTCAGTGGTGCATATATGCAAGGATGGAGGCTTATTTTCACTCACCGTTTCATTTACATGATAATATTAACAAATTATATAAGTTGTGGCCTGGCAACTGTAAGAAACAACAGCAAAGTAAATATAAATAACTCCAAATTTTTATACTCAGCAAACAACATCCAGAAATTTGAACAGAGCTGGTATAAACAAGTACAACAACGAAAACATATACAAGCAGGGGACGAGGAGGAGAACACAAAACCCTCTCTTCCTTCCATCCGACCCATTTTCTTGAAGATCTTACGACATATGCGACTTCCATCTCTACTCATACATAATACCAAGAAATGCTAAAAGGCGGGAAAAAAAATTCAAACCATGTCCACCTATGTATATAAGTTCCCTTGCGTCAAAAACAAAGGGAAACATAAACTCTTTACCAGCAAAAAATAACCCTGCTTATGTGTGGCTTAAAAGATATGCAGCCAAGCAGGATTGTCTGGAAAAGAGCATGGAGAAGTTATGGGCAAAATGAAGCATGCATATGGATTTTCCTAATGAAGATCACGGCTGTCCTGTCAAATAATCTGCAACCAGTGAACTAAAGAAACCCTAAACAAATCGGGTAGTTTTTCTGTGTGCGTGTGTGCAGCGGATGCTCCTATGGTGTCTATGAACTATGCATGATTTTTGATGGAGTAAACCTATTAAGAATCTTTCCAGATGAACATTTGCGAAGAAGAAGAACAAGATGGAGCGGTACTAGCTGAAGATGTGGACGTCCCCTGATTTTGATCTTGCGCATCCATCGCAGAATCAGGAGCGAATGTCGAGAGCCTCGACTGTAGAAATAAGCTATTGGCTCCGTCGATATCATCCCACACAGAACTCCCCGGCCCCCACGTACTGAACCAAGCCTCCTCTGCATCCCCCCACACAAATTCCGCCGGGGATGCAGCAGTAGCTACTGCCTGGGGATCAGATACGACAGGTTTCTCCTCCTCCTCAGCATTGACCTTTACAGATTCGGTCTGCATAGCTTCACACGGCGAACAAGAAGTCCCTTGATCTCCGTCTCCTCCAATCGCTTCTTTATTCTTCCCAAGGAAGAGTTCGGGGAAATTGAGACGAGCGTTCTCGCCCCGAAGTCTGTACGCCTCCCGATCATACGCCATGGCCATCGTCCTCCGCCCGTGTCCGAAGCGTCCCTAGCACAGCCGGGCTCCGGTTCCTGGGCAGGCGAATCTCCGCCACCCTTTCCCCAGTTGCCGCTGCCTCACCCCCTGTAAAGCTTCGTAGGAGTGCGGAAGATGCGAAGGAGGGTAGATGGTCGCCCCTCGTGCGCCGCCAGACGCGGCCAGTCGGTTCATCATCACAATCGTGGCCGCGGGGGCTGAGGCGTTCACGCCTGCGCTCCAGTACCTCATCAGCTGCTCGTGTGTACTTTCTGCCTGATGCTGGTGCCTGAGCCTGCCCGCCTGTCCTTCGTCAAAAACATCCGAGGGTAGGCTCCTGTCGGTTGCGGCTCGGGTAATGCTGGCCGATGTCGAGCAGACATGCGCTGCGGCTTGTGGCTGCGCGCCACGGGAGGGCGACACGGGGCGCCGTAGGGGACCGGGGTGGAAAGCGGAGGAACAGGGAGGCGAGGGGGAGGCCTTCCGCGGCTCCGAAACCGATCTTGACTGCGGCGCTGCGGCGCCTCTTCAAAAACGGCATCCGCGGCCTCAAGCGTGCCTGCAGGCTCTTCGCGCTTTCCTCTGCTGCCTCCTGTCGACGTCGACCGCTTTCCCTTTGTTATACGGGGACCCTGATCCGTCCATGGATTCAGAACAAAGACAGAGCGAGGTTGAAGATGAAACTTAGGCCCCAAAAGAAGCTAAGTCATCAATGCTAATGTAACAGTGAAGGCCAGGGGTGGGGGAGAGATAAGCCGAAGAGCCAGAGCCAATGAGGAACTGGGGTTTGATTGGAGGAGATCTTTTTTAAGCTATCAAGGTCTCTCTCTCTCTCTCTCTCTCTCCCCTCGTCGTGGACTTGGTGCGATGCGCTGTTAAGAAACTTGGGGGGGGAGAGGCTGAGGGCGTTTTATGAGCAGGAAAAAGATCTTCCCGCTGTGGTGGCTTTTGGGTCCCCACGCGATTCTCTCTCTGTCCCAGCTTTTTTACTCGCGATCACAGACCAAAGACTTTGAAGCTCGGTGGGGGTTGCGAACTCTGACGTACAGGTGGCGGGGATCGCCATCCTCGTTGGACTTTCTGTCGTTTTTGGGGGGCCCTCCTCTTTGTCTTCTTCTCGTGTTCCCGCGTATGTTTTGTTCTTGTTTCAAATATGCTAGTGTGTGAACCTGGCAAAACACGGCATATTTTTTTTTCGTTATAGTAATCTCGGTTTTAAATGTTACAATGATACCTTTTTTTTGGGTTGTTACAGTATCACAGCCTCTGTTACAATGTTTTAAATTTTTTTTTAAAAATGCTACAGTATCCCGCTTTGTTCTTGAGAGAGCATCTGCTACAGTATTTTACCGCTTCTTTACAGTATCCTTATGCTACAGTAATTTTTTTCAAAAAACTGCTACAGTATCCTGTTTTGTCCTTTGGGGGGTGCTGCTCTTTGTCTTCTCGTGTCCCTGCGTATGTTTCGTTCTTGTTTCAAATATATGCATGTTTATGGAGCTTATTAGCGTCAGAGTGGAGATTAATCGTGCAGCTGCTAAGCACGTCAGGGAGAGCGTAGGAGGTTTGCACTGCAAATAACTTTCGTAGGAAATCCCCGATATATTTTTTATGTAAATTACACTAAACCACCAATACGTTCGAAATGCCCTTTTATGTCGTTTTTTTTTTGTTCTAATTTACGAGGGCTATCTGCAGAACTCAGAAAATTATTCGGGGTTTTTAGGAATCCAAAGGGTTAATGGGGTTTAGTGTGATTTTGAAAGTTATTGGGAGTTTACTGCAAAAAGTTGAATGTTATGGGGGGTTTATGTAATTTACCCTAAATTTAACATTTTATCTTTTTACGAATAATGCTATAAATTTTGATACACGTGCATCTGCGCATCAATATGTTTAAAGTCTGGAAAATGTTCAGAATATATCTAAGTCTGACACTTGTCAAAGGGAGGAGTGAAGTAAAATTCACCTTTTCTTCCCCCTTCTGATTTAAAGACCAAGAAAAAGACGCGAAACAAAGGGAGTAGGTCGGTAGAGCTATTCAAGATCAGCTACTTATTCCTCAACCCCTACACCCTACATTTGGGAGTAAAGATTCTATCAGAACACCCAATTAAAATAGATGATCTATATTATTCACGGATAGTTAGAGGTATAGTTTGAGAATAACAACTATTCTACGTATGTTGTAGGCCACCTCGTTTTTATAGGGTGGTTTTGATAAAATCCCTACTGTAGATTTGCCGGTAATTTGTTTAATTAAGGACTATCACTTAATTAAATTTTATTTTTGGGGTTAATTTGTTAAATTTATTAAAACCATCATAAACTATTAATAATTTTTGCATAATAATATCATAACTACTTTTACTAGACAATAAATCACAAACTTCAAAATCATGGGGCAAAAAGTAATATGTACTATCCACAAAAAAAACTCTTCATAGGTTAAATACCATAAAACTTCATACTATCTAATATTTTTCTCGTAATTCAAATGTATATGATAGTTTCTCTATTAAAAATAGGCTAAAATAGCATATTGGTATTTTAAATGGACCCTAAATGACAATAGCGTATTTTAAATAACTCCGGCTATAATAAGACGTTATAATTATTCAAAAGAGACGACAAGGCCCATAACTTTCATCGGAGATCACTTTTCCGTCCAAGTTCCCTCACGTGCTTGCATGTGATTTATAAAATTATTTGTTCTCTTGCTGATGTGGCAGAGACTTGCCCCTAGTTTGCAAAATTCCACCAATCAACACCCAAATGAGGGTTTATCATTCAATTAATTGAGGATAAACACCATATTAATCATCCTTCTAAAAAAAACCAAACCCACAAAGAAATATCTCAAAAGTTCGAGAGGAGTCTCACCTTTGCTCTTGGTTGTCACCATACTCAAGTCGTCGTCCTCACCAGAGATTCTCCCTTCTCTCAAGTCACATTCAAGATCAGAGAGGTTATTGCAAAAAGCTCCCCTCCAGCTGCTCCCTCTCTCGTTCAAGTTTTGAAAAAAAGGGTGAATTTCGCTAATTTGGGGGGTGATGAGATTTTAGGCATGGTTATTTCTCCCTCCAACCCTTACATCATGTCATTCCTTATTGTCCAACTCAGCCCACAATGATCACACAACAATCATGTGAGGTAAATTTGGCCAGAAAAATTGACAGAATCGAAGTGTAGGAGTAATCGACAAGAAAACAATTTCCTCTTCCTCTGCACCGCGTAATTTTCTACACGCCAGAATCGAACTGCAAGAGTAAAAAGTTCCAAAGTACGATACTACGAGGGGGCCTTGTGCAATTTACCCAAGTAGTAAAACAGTTGTTTTGCCAATCAGAGGCCTAGATTTAATTTGAAAAACGTCCCAATCAATCTATGCTGGGGTCACGATGATGATAACAAACGTGACGAGATTTTCTAACAGAAGCGCCGGCCACAGGGGGGTGGGGGTGGTCCAAACGCAAACTGGTGCGCGGAGTCGGTCACGTGTCGGCGGACGTGGACCACCGCCCACACCCTCAATTTTTCATCATTCTCATGCTTATCTCTAGCCTGCCCTCCTACCTTAAACCCCTTATTTAATTAGGTTGAATCCCCACATCTAGTCTTTATTAAACTTTTAACTTCTCAAAATATCAGCTCCCTACTTTGGCAGAGAAGTCTTTATGGTAGCCCCCCCCCCTGGTGTTGGTATTATCCACAATCAAATATATAGGGCCCTCTATCGACGGGGGTTTAATTTTGCGACTAACCGCTTGTATTCTCCATGTAAATCAAGCTCCATGCACGACAACATAAGATTCCTGACATGTAGGAAGGAAACACGCTGGTGTTTAAAGTTGATGATTATATTGATTTATGTACGGTTTGCGCTGACATAGGGGCTGTTTGGTTGTATGTTTTTACCGTGTAAAAGTATGGAAAGTGTAAAAAAAAAAGGGTCCCAATGTCAGCTTTCATCACTTCACATTGTTTGTTTAAATTCTCTTTTACATGAAAAGCTTACACCTTTTGATGAGGTGTCACCGAAAGCAAAATCACCAAAATTAGGAGTGATTTTGTTGGAAAGCTGACACAATGTCATAAATGTGTCCAAAAAAATAATAAAAAAAGTCAAAACGTTGTAGAAAGTGGTGAGGTGGATAACCACTTTCCATTTTGTGTCATAAATACTCTAGTTTACATTATACTATCCAAACAATGTAATACTATTATTTTAGGATTCGCAAGGATTCCTACCCAAACAATGTAAACACTCGAATGGAAAGTGGTGAGGTGGATAACCACTTTCTGTTTTGTGTCATAAATACTCTAGTTTACTAAAGTCATCCCATAGTAATCTGATTAAACCAATATTTAATTGTTTACGTTGCTATTCGCTAGCTAGTTGTGCTCATATTACATATCAATTATATAGGTTTTAAATTTATAGTTAAATATGTATCATGTAAAAATTTCCCATTACAATAGCACTCTTCCATTTGTCATCTACCCCTTCAGTGTACGTTCCACTTACCTCCAGATATCTAGGATAGACACCATTTCAGGCATTGACCATACTTCGCTCAAAAATATAACATAACGGAAAAGGACCCTTCCTTTGTGTTATTTATATATATATATATATATATATATTTTACTTTGTCAGGGTGCATCATTACGCTATGTTATTCTTGCCGATAGTTTTATTTTAATCACTTTATTATGATACAACTCAACGAATTATTGTTATTGTTAGTTATAATAATATAAGTAACATATGGTTACATTATGGGTATTAATATTGTATTGGATGGATGCTTATCAAGATTGCGTGTTAAGCTTATACTAGTATAGTATATATATAGAGAGAGAGAGAGAGGGGGGGGGGGGGGGGGGATTTCTCTTGGGATAGTAGCTCCACTAAAAGAGATTGGTATTGGGGAGACTCAAATAATTGCACTCATCAATGGCCTAATTTGACTTGGGTTACTTAGGATTAGCATAATGATAGC